CACTTTGAGTTAATTTTTGTGAATGGTGTAAGGTCTCAGTCTAGATTCATATTTTTATTTTGCATGTGGATGTTTAGTTGTTCCAGTAGCATTTGTTGAAAAGACTATCTTTTCTCCACTGGATTGCATTTTCTCCTTTGTTAAAGATCAGTTGACTATATTCATGTGGGTCTATATCTGGGCTCTCTATTCTGTTTCAATATATATTTATCTACTCTTTTGCCATTATCACATTGTCTTGATTAAGTCTTGGAGTCAGGTAGTGTCAGTCCTCCAACTTTGTTCCTCTCCTTCAATTTTGTGTTGGCTATTTTTGGTATTTTGCTTCTCCATACAAACTTTAGCATCAGTTTGTTGATATCCACAAAATAATTTGCAGAAATTTTGATTGAGATTGTGTTGAATTTATACATCAATTTGGGAAGAACCAACATCTGGACAATATTGAGTTTCTCCATCCATGAACATGGAATATTTCTCCATTTATTATCAGAGTTTTATAATTTTCCATATGTAGATCTTATAATATTTTATCAGAGTTTGTACCTAATATTTCACTTTTTGTGTGATAATGTAAATGGTATTCTGTTTTTAATTTCAAATTTCATTTCTTCTATGCTGGTATACAGTGAAGCAATTGATTTTTGTATATTAACTTTGTATCTAATAACCTTGCTATAAGTGCTTATTAGTTCCAGGATTGCTTATGTCAATTATTTTTGGTTTTCTAAATAGACAATTTGTCATCTGCAAACAAGGACAGTTATATTTTTTCATTCCCAATCTGTATACATTGTATTGCATTTTCTTCTTCTATTCCATTATCTAGGTCTTTCAGTATGATATTGGAAAGGAGTGTGAGGGGGGACATCCTTACTTTATTCCTGATTTAAGCAGGAAAACTTCTAGTGTCTCACCATTAAGTATGATGTTAGCTGTAGGGTTTTTGTAGATGTGCTTTACAAATTTCCTTAATTTGATCGATGAGGAACAATTCCACTCTATTCCTAGTTTGCTAAGAGTTTTTATGAAATGGATGTTGGATTTTGTCAAGTGTTTTTCTGCATCTATAATGATATGATCATGAGATTTTTCTTCTTTTAAAATATTTTCTTTTTTTATTTCAGAATATTACAGGGGTACAAATGTTTTCGTTACATAAACTGTTTTTGTACCAAAGTTAAAGTTATAAGTGTGCCCATCCCCAAGATAGTGTGTATTGTACTTGTTAGGTATGAATTTATCCATCCCCACGAGCCCCCTCCCAACTGCTTCATTTCCTAGGAATGTTATTTTCATATGTGCACAAAAGTGTTGATCAATTAGTTACAATTTAATGGCAAGTACATGTGGTGTTTGTTTTTTCCATTCTTGTGATACTTCACTTAGAAGAATGGATTCCAGTTCCATCCAGATTAATATAAGAGGCATTAGTTAGAATTTTTATGCCTGAGCAGTATTTGAAAGTATACATATATCATATTTTATTAATCCACTCATGTAATGATGGATACTTGGGTTGTTTCCACATCTTTGCAATTGTGCTGCCATAAAAATTTGAGTGCAGGTGTCTTTTCATAGAATGTCTTTTTTTCCTTTAGGTAATACTGTGGTTTGGTGTTTGACATGAATATGGGGAAATTATTGGTAATTATTGCTTCAAAAGGTTTATTTAAAAGGTGAATTTGGCCGGGCGTGGTGGCTCACGTCTGTAATCCTAGCACTTTGGGAGGCCGAGGCGGGTGGATTGCTCAAGGTCAGGAGTTCGAAACTAGCCTGAGCGAGACCCCGTCTCTACCAAAAATAGAAATAAATTAATTGACCAACTAAAAATATATATACAAAAAATTAGCCGGGCATGGGGGCGCATGCCTGTAGTCCCAGCTACTTGGGAGGCTGAGGCAGTAGGATCGCTGAGCCCTGGAGATTGAGGTTGCTGTGAGCCAGGCTGACGCCACGGCACTCACTCTAGCCTGGGCAACAAAGTGAGACTCTGTCTCAAAAAAAAAAAAAAAAAAAGGTGAATTTTTTAAAAGATAATTGTTCAACAAATATCACTTTGTGAGCAATTTAATAGCATTAATAAAATCCTGTTTTGTGGTCCTCTAGTCTATTTTTTTCATACTATAGTATGCATTGGAATCACCTGGGGATCTTGCTAAAACACAGATTGTCAGGCCCCAACCCCTAGAATTTCTCATTTATTATGTTTGGGATGAGGCCCTATCCCTCTACTTTCCACAATACCACAGTACCAAGTTGTAAGCATGGTCAGACTTTACCAATAGAATGGGAATAAGTAAAGTAAGTTTCCATGTTGAGAGGTAAAATGTAGGAAACTGAGTATGACTTTTTCTCAGTCCAAGTTAATTTAGGTTAAATCTTTCACAGAGCTTCTGCTCATTGACTTCCACACTTACTAAACATACAAATCCGTATTCAGGTACATGCTGAACATGGAAAATGTCTGCTTCTACCTCAAGCATTCAACCTGACCCCTATATTTGTACCAAAAGGTATACACTAGTAAGCTAATATATATTTAACTATCTGGAATAGGGTAAAAAGTGTATAAAATGCATGTGTCTCTTTATTTACTCATTTATTCATTCATTCATTCAACCAATATTCAGTAGAAGCTATGGTATGAATGTATCTTCCAAATTTCAGCTGTTAGAAACACAATCCCCAATGCAACAGTGTTCTTGGGTGGTTGGGACTTTTGGGAGGTGTTAGGGTCATAAGGGCTCTACCTTCATGAATGATTTATGCTGTTATACAAGGACTTGATGGAAGGACTTTGTCCCTTTTGCCTTCTGGCATGAGAGGACATAGCGTTCCTCCTCTCTGGGGGATGCAGCATCAAGACACCATCTTGATATAGCACCTCTTGTATATTCCTGGATACAGCTGGAACCCATTCTACTAAGTGAAGTATCTCAAGAATGGAAAAACTAGCACCACATGTACTCACCAGCAAATTGGTATTAAATGATCAACACCTAAGTGGACACATAGGAGTAACATTTATCAGGTGTTGGGAGGGTGGGGGGGGAGGAGGGGATGGTATATACAACCACAAGGAGTAAGATGTGCAACATTTGGGGGATGGACACACTTGAAGCTTTTACTCCAGGGGGGAGGGGGTCATGGGCAATATATGTAACCTTAACACTTGTACCCCCATAATATGCTAAAAAAAATAAAAAATAAAAAAAAAGACACCGTCTTGGAAGTAGGGAGCAGCCCTCAACAGACAACAAACTTTCTGGTGCCTTGATCTCAGACTTCTCAGCCACCAGAACTCTAAGAAATAAATTTCTGTCCTTTATAAGTTACTCAGTCTCAAGTATTCTGTTATATCAGCACAAAACTAAGACAGTCATTATCTGTTATTTTCCAAGCACAATTCTAGGCTTGGAATATAGCAGTGATCAAAATAGAGGAGACTGTTGCTGTTAAGAAGCTCATTTTCTACTGGAAGAGACGGACAATAAACAAATACATATATGTTATATTGAAAAAGTGCTACTAAGAAAAAATAGACTAAGAAAGAAGTATTGAAGCATATTCCATCTAAGAGAGTGTATTAGGAAAGCTTCTCAGATAAGATGACATTTGATCGAGGATTTGAATGAAATGAGAAAGGGAACAAGGAAGATATCTGGTAAAAACAATGTTCCAGGCAGAGGGACTAGGAAGTGCAAAAGCTTTTCAAAGGCATAGGTTTCAGTGTGTTAAAAAAAGAGCAAAAAGGGAAATGCCTATAATGCATTATTCTAAAAAATGCAGCAAACTCTTTGAAATTAACTTTCATAGACCATTCTTTTGGTAAAAATAGAAACATAATACTTTTATAACAAATTAACATATTCATCGCTAGTATATATACATATTTTATAACACTCCGGTTAAAGTGGTACTCCACAGTAATCAAATCAAGTGTTATGTGTGTTTGCATGGCCCTCCTTAGTGCTATTTATTTATGCTTTTTGAATATATTTAATTGGGGCAAATAGATTTTTATAAGATACAAATTTTGGTATTTTCAGCATATCATTTAGAAGGTAATAAAGCATTCTATCTTTACTGTTCTTAAATACCAATATATCAATATATCTCTTTCAATTTTGATGTTTTCTAAAGTGTTTTGTAAAGTAATACCTTCAAGTTAAGAGCAACTGTCATTCAAAGTCTCATTTTAAAACTGACCTCTTAATCTTCTTCTTACTTCTAATGTTTGGATTAAATTATGAAGATTGAGTATAAAAAATAAATTATCTTATGTTAAAACACAGTGTACTCTAAACACAACAGGTTTTTATGTACTTGAAAAAGGAGAGCTGAACTGAAGCTAAAGAAACAATGACTATGCACACTGTCCTTATTACAATCAATGCTTAAGATGAAGAAGAAAATGCACAGCTATATTAGCAATAGAAACTTTTCCAAAACAGCTTAAGAATTTATAAAGCTTCATCCTACAAGAGTAGAACAAGGGAGTTTGCACCTAAACCCTGGGGCTTGTCTGTCTGTGAAGACCTACATATCCCAGTATATGAAGTTAATGTGACTTATCCACCCAAAAATTCATGAAGCATTATTGCACTTAGTGATTTCCAACATGACCCTCAGATGATATGTAAGATGTTTGCTAGTCAATTTGATCTCAACTAATTATGTACAAGGTTTAAGCAGTGTCACTTATAGTTAATACTTTATACAGTTGAAAATATCAGCAATGATTAGGGTTATCTTTCATTTCTAGAGCATCTCTACATACATTTTTTATCATTCATTCTTCAAAATAAGTTAAAGAAGCATTTACATTTGAAGGAACTTATCTTGAAGATGTTAAGAGGGCATCCCTTTTTGCAGAACAGAGAGTAAATGTTGGATTTAGGGCTAGAATCCATGGATTCTGAGTACAGTTCCATAGCTCCTATATCATCACAATACAATATGCAATAATTTATTTAAAGAAATAAATAATTTCTTACCTTTGTGACAACCTTTCCATATAATATATCGAGTATTCTCATAATTTGTGTTCAACCAAGTAAGTAGAATTCTTTCAGAATTAGAATATATGTTGCTGGATACAAAACAAGGATTGATTTTTGGTTTATTTTGCAGATGTATGGGGGGCATATTACTGCTACAATATGGTACTACCCGGCATAGAACCAGAACCTGAAATTAAGAAAGAAAGAGAGAGATAATTTTAATTAGATTCAAATGGAAAAACTAACAAATTAGTATTTAAGAGTAAATGAAAAATGTGACAGGTAGATAAAGGAAGGCACCAGTATTTTCTACTTAAATGTATCCAATCAAGAGTAAAAGAACACATCAAACTCATCCCAACTTCTATAGCATTTAATCTACATGGCACTACACTATGTAATTTACAAGAGGCTTATTACCCAATGGAAAAAACAACTGCATTTGAGAACAGTACTGTTGACTGTCAATTAATTTATAACATAAGGATTTGAAATGCCTTTCTTAATTCTATGCTGGCAATTTGGAAAAATAAAATTTTGAAAGTCCAAGTAATGTTAATCAAATCAAAACTTACTTTGGCATTGATACTTATTGAAGAGGTCTGTTTTTAAGATGACAAAAGTGTATAAGGAATTTGTAATTTGACATATCTTTATCCTATATTGTAAAGTGTGGTATATTTACATCATATCACCATTCAATAGATGTATACCACATGTTTTATTATGAAGCAATACCTCTATATTTAAAAATAATTAAACAATATTCAGATTAAGTAAAGAACTCTGCATCTGATCGGTGCAGCAGCACTATAGTACAGAGCTACTCAAAATGACTATTAGCAGTTTGTTACAGGTTCTGGATGAGATGAACAGCTTGTGATCTGCTACCTCACTATATAGGTCTCAAGACTTTATTAATGAAGGAGTCAGAGCATCGGTTTACATCACAGTACACAGAACAAATTCAGCTCCATGGTTCATCCCAAACCTTTAATAGACAATTCTCCAATTGGATGGGTATGAAGAAAACAGTTTGAGTGACATGTGCTACAGAGATACTCTTGATACCTTGCCCATATTCCCTCAGCACTCACCTACACATTCTCGAGGTTGCTTATTGTGAAAACATGCAAGTCTTTGCTGGAGTGATTATTTTTTCTGACACACAAGAGCACACTTAGCTCACAGAAGGCAAGCTAGGAGTGCCAGAGGATAATGACCCCCAAAACAATGCCCTACCAAAGATGATCAGAGAATTGGTAGTTAAATACTCCAGATTCCTCACCACTCAGTTGGGATAAATAAGATGTGTTCTACAATGTTTCCCATAGATACCCAGTGGGATTGAGCTTCAGTTGCCCACAGTGGAACCTGCTTGAAACCACATCTGCTATCAGCTTCGTTATATTCTGTTTCAATTCCCTGCTATTCTACTACCCATGCTTCTTGGGATCACCCCTGAAATAAATTATTTACACTCAAATACTTGTCTCAGAGTCTTCTATTAGGAAAATCCAACCCAGGACAAATATTTTCATAGTCACGTATAGTTTAATTGTAAATTTGGAAAAATGTACTCCTTTTTTTACATACTACATATCTATTATATGTAGTGGCTCAAATAATTACAGTTTAAAAAGTATTAAAATACCTGTGGGCATCCCAAAAGTGTTCTTCTCTTTGCCACTTCGAGAAGCATTTCAAAATTCTATCAAAAAGTTAATTTCTGAATGTTAGCTATTTACCTGGCTTATGTCTAGTGAGAATAGCCATCCATAAATGTGAATTGCATCATTTTAGCATTTTTGATAGAAGTTTAACAGAGCTATCTTCTTTTTTCATTCTGACAGTTATATGGTCTAGAACTCCTAAATTTCTAATCTAACATACTATAAAAATGCAATTAAAAGCTTTTTAAAAGGACCCCTACCTCTTCCTGGGGAATACCAAATGATGAATTATCTAAGTACAATTGATGAGATAAATGTTTAGAGCTAATGACCTGAGCTGGCTCAAAATTCATCTGTCATCTGTCACCTCTACTCTGCAAATGAGACAAGATCTGCAAGTGACCAGTGATAGATTTAATGATGGACCTATGTGGACTATGGATACAATCTTTAAAATAGGAAGAGCCACTACTCTGAGTTACTTAATTCTAAACCAGTGCTTCTGACATCATCAGTGTTGAAAGAACTATTCGTTTTCGGTTGCCACAGAATGATAGCTTTGTAAAATACTCTAAAAATAAATTTCTAGGAAAATAAAATAAAGAATAAAAATGTATACAATGTACAAGAAGACCCCATCACATACAAATCCAAATACACCTTGGGTAAGAATTATTACTATTTGTTGCCTAGCATGCAAACCACACCAAGTATGAGATCAAGGAATGGAATGAGGATTACAGAGGCCAGAACGGCTTGTTAGCTGTGAAGGTAATCAGTGAAATTAGGGCAAACATGTTTTACCTATTCATGCTCAGGAAATTCTTTCCTGCCCTCACATTGTTTGGATATGTCCTTAATTTTTGTTAAAAAGATGTGATTTAAGAAATGTAAGTGATAGCACCCATTTAAAGTCAATAGACTGACCACATAATGGAACATACTTCTTGGCTATCCTACCTTGTCAATATAGAGCAATTTAAAGACTTAAAAACAATGACAAAACTACCACTAAAAGTATATACTTTCATATATTGAGTGCTATGCCACTACTGTCATAGGTATTTCCAGTTCCAAATGAACTTTGCTGTTATATTTGCAAATATTGTTTTTGAATGTTAACTTTTTAAAAATGATGTGTTATTTTAATCTATTGGCCTTGAAAACACATGATAATTTTCACTTTTTAATTATCCATAAAAATTTCTGGATTTTTTAGACTATTTAGGCATTTGGATTTGTTCTGAGGAATCATTTCAATTAGGCCTACGTTGATCAGAAAAAAGGAATCAATAGCTAGTTTAAGACCTTTCTTTTACACTTAGGGATGATGGTTTAACACTTGGTTGGAATCCAAGTTAATTAAGTATCCAGATGATGACTGTGTACTGTACCAACCAGTCATATCTCACTGTGAAGATTTTGTAGTTAGTAATGAGTGATTACTCATTACTCGGAGGGTGCTTCATGACTAGAAGGCTGAAAAGACTGCAGACTGTAAGGCTTCCCTGAATTGTAATGGTCCATGCCAACTAAACCCCATCTCTTATGACCATTTCTGACTTGAGTGTGGAATGAGTGGGACAATGGAAGCTATGCCTTGAGTCACAAGGCCTTGGCTTTGCTGTTGCTGTGCATTCTGGGTTCTGATCTATTTTGTGAACTTCTTTAAAGCTAAGCCAATATGCCGCTATGTAAAATCTACTGTATTTCACAGTTTTGATTATAAAACCAAACCCAAGACCATGCTGCTAGTGAATCCCTATACAACTAATGATGCAAAAGATAATATTTCCAACATATTTTTGCATATAAGCAGAGATAAGTAAGACATTAGCAACCAGTTGGCAATGAGCTGAGTTTTCCCAGTCTCTGTGCCTAACGGAAGGAAATTTTCTTAAAGAACTTAATGGATGTTGGCATCTTCAATAATGGCTAAATAAAGTGGATTTTACCATATCATACCTAATATGGATTCATATTGTGTTACAACAAAGATAAAAATGAGAGCACATGCAGTAACATCCCACCTATCCAAATCTCAACTATACGGAAAAACCTCACGGAATATAGTTCTTGCATATGTTAATACTTTGAGCTACAATCCTTGACATCTCAAAATGTATGTGTTAACTTTCTTCTGCTTAACTTGGAAAAACCTGTTGGTGACTTTAAGTCAGAGCCTATTTGCTTTTAGTTTATAGAAAATTTTAAAAAGTGTGGATATTTAGTTTCTTAGGTCATAGAAAATCACAAGTAATAGGAAAAAGAACTACTGTAAGCAGGCATGTTGGTAACTGCAATGAAAGGCAAGAGAGATAATATTAGTAGTTGTATGCAAGAAAATGAGAAAAAAAACTATTAAAAACTAACGAAAAAAGAAAACAAAAAAAGAAATCCAGTGTCTGAGCAGCATTTGGATGGGAAACAGGCCTGTATAACTCAATGAGTCCTGTGGTCACTACTGTGCTTGATACCTAGGTGATGCAAATACAATTCTGAATTCTGCCTCTGTGGATTTGATGTCTTGTCTATCTTTAGTAATAGTATTCCAATTTTATAATATTATACTGAAATTTTGAACTGATTTAGGGAAAATATGTTTACTCAGAAAGACCACTGCTATATGTTTGAAAATATCAAAATATTGAATATAATTGTCATTATTTTAAAAAAAACCTTTATGAGAGACAATATGCTGGGACAAATGAATAAACAAATAGATTAAACTTACCCAGGTATTTATTTCTGATCATATTTTTCTTTTCCGGAGTCTTTTGTAAAAATATCACATATATTTCCTTTAGCACATACAGAATCACCCTTTATATTCACACAGGAACCCTGTTTATAGTTATGTTTTGAACAGCATTCTGAGTTTGAATGTTTCTGTTATTATTTTTCACCTCTCTTATGTTTCAATGACCCATTAGTCAGCCATCAATACACTTTTGTCACTTGGGAATGCAATGCAAGACAATAACTACAATTAAGCTTGCAAATTTAATAAGTATAAATAACCAAATGACACATAATGTGATTAAGTCAAATAACTGTATCTTGTTATCTATTATTAGCCAAGAAGAACTGAAAACAAAAAACAAAAACAAAAACAAAAAAAGCAGTACGTGCATGACCTCTGGGGATGCAACACTTAGTCAGAACCTAAAGGGATTTGTGTGAAAATCACAACTTTCCATTTCTAACCCGTGAAATGCATTTCAACACTGTTTGTTTTTTCAAGTGAAATTGCCAATCAACTTCTGATTTGATGCAGTGCCTGGTGTTACACATGCTTTAGATACAACACATGGAGAAACTCAGCTCCCAGATGATCTAACTGGGCAGTGTTATCAATTCCTATGATTTTATCATGAAATCATTGAAGAATCCCAAACGTGCTGACACTCAGATCTCTCTCTGACTAATATATATATCCACCTGATAGTCACACAGGGCACCATAAAATAACAGGATAAAAATTAAATTATCAGGTCTTCTTGCCCTTTCCCACCTCCTGATCATTCAAAATTTCTATTCTCTCTCCTTGTCTTTTATTTTAGTGAATGGTATTAAATGCCACTCATTACCCAAGCAAAAAATTCACTGTCGTTCTTGACCTGTCTCTATCAATGTCAAAGATCTAATCATTCATCAAATTCTATTGCGTTTTACCCCTAATATTTATGAAAGCTGCCCCCTTTCTCATCCACCCCACTAGCACCAAAGTTCCCATGTAGGTCACAGCACCAGACACTTAAATACACTCCAACAGTTTCCAGAGTGTACCAGAGTGTTCACCCTTGTGTTTAAAACCTTTAAATAGGGGCGAGCATGGTGACTCACGCCTGTAATCCTAGCACTCTGAGAGGCCTAGGCAGGCGGATCACTCGAGGTCAGGAGTTTGAGAACAGCCTGAGTAAGAGCGAGACCCAGTCTCTACTAGAAGTAGAAAGAAATTAGCTGGACAACTAAAAATATATATACAAAAAATTAGCCGGGCATGGTGGCGCATGCCTGTAGTCCCAGCTACTCGGGAGGCTGAGGCAGAAGGATTGCTTGAGCCCAGGAGTTTGAGGTTGCTGTGAGCTAGGCTAACGCCACAGCACGATAGACCGGGCACAGAGCGAGACTGTCACAAAAAAATAAAATAATTAAAACCTTTAAATAGTTCTTTACTAACCTCAGGATAAAATCCAAGAAGTCCAGAGTCCCCTATGTAGTAATAAAGATTCTTTCCTTGACCATTTTTTTAAAATCAGGCTCCTGAACCTTCTCCTAGGCCAATCTGTGTACTTATTTGTAAAATACGGTTTTAGCAACAACCTTGCTAAGTGAGTTTAACAAGAACCCCCTAACCCTCCATATCTGATCACCCTTGACATCTACTTGGGTTCTTCATCTTCCACCAACCCCCAGGGGAATGTCTGATCACCCCGGCTTAATTTCAGCAAGAATCCTGTTAGATTCCTTTAGCCAGAATCCATCCTTACTCCCTATGCTTCCTCTTAGTCATTTTCCATTCACAGACCCCCTACTCTGCTCCTTGGCTATCAATTCCCACTTGTCCATACTGTGTTCATTGTTGAGCCTGGTCTCTGTCCCCTACTGCAAAATCCCATGCAGTGGTCCCTATACCTATTGTGATGGTCCTGAGTAAAGTTTGCTTTACCATGCTTTAACTAGTGACATTTTTTTCTTTAACAGACATAAACCACGATCGAATTTCTCTCAGTCCCCTCCCACTACCTTCAGCTCAATTATGTTTATTCCTCAGAAAATTCCATGTTCTATCTAACCTCAAGGCTTTGCCATGCTGAATACTCTGTCTTAAAAAATTTTGCTGCCTCACCCCCCAATAAAATTCTCGTACTCTCTCCATCACACAAATTGTAGTACCTCTCTCTCCAGCCTATGTCCCACCTCACCTAGCAAACTCTTGGTCATTTATGAGGGTTAAGTTTAAGTCATTTTCTTCCTGGAAGGCTTCCCCAAGGCACTGGAAAAATATTTACTTTCTATGCGCGTCCTATAGTTTTTCTTGGGATTACTTTGTCATAGTACTTAGACATTTTTATAATTAATTATACTTCCTCCAGGATATAAATTTTTTTCTCTTTTCTTTTCTTTTTTTTTTTTTTTTTTTTTTTTGCAACAGAGTCTTGCTCTGCTGCCCAGGCTAGAGTGCCGTGGCATCAGCCTAGCTAACAGCAAGCTCAAACTCCTAGGCTTAAGGAATCCTTCTGCCTCAGCCTCCTGAGTAGCTGGGACTACAGGCATGTGCCACCAGGCCTGGCTAATTTTTTCTATATATTTTTAGTTTTCCAGCTAATGTCTTTCTAGTTCTAGTAGAGACGGGGTCTCCCTCTTGCTCAGGCTGGTCTTGAACTCCTAGCCTCAAGTGATCCTCCTGTCTCAGCCTCCCACAGTGCTAGGATTGCAGGCGTGAGCCACCACGCTCGACGCAGAATATACAATTCTTGAGGAGACAGGTTATATCAAGTTTACTCTTATGCTCCCAGAGCCTAGTATAGTGCTGGGCCACTACAGTTGTTGGATAAATAATTTATCATGAATTCATTCAACAAATACTTATTGAGCACCCACTACGTACTTCACATTCTTTTAAGTTCTCAGTTTATAAGTGATGCATGGTTTCTAAATCCATAGAGACATAGATGGGGAAGATGGATTAAACAAACTAAACATATACATGAATGCATGAATGAATTAATAAATGACTAAATAAATAAATGAATGAGTGAATGAAAGCCATAAGCCAAGATTATGTTAACTTTGCCCATAAAGTAGAATATTTTCTGCTCTTCTGTTTGGGATTTGCTTCTTTTTGTCAGTGGGAAAAATTATAGATGATGAAACATAGAGTTAAAAATGAAAAAAAGGAAATGTCTTTTCCAAACCCATGTTTGGCTAAAAGTGGCAAATACATTTATACCTTCCTCTGGGAATTACCCAAGAAAAGATAGGATTTATCTTCTTAACATTCAGCTAGGAAGGCAGTTTGGGGGAAGAAGAGGAAGATCAAGAGGGAAATCACACAGAAAGAACTCTCCAGAAGGTGATCTGTGTGGCTGACTGCAGTGGAGACTTCAGACTTCCAGAGGCCAGCACAAGAGCCCTGGACTCCAGGGCCTTAGCAGAGAACAAGAAATAAATAAGCATTACCCATATCAAATTACTGCATATACTCAAATTCATGTGACATACTTATATGTGCCTGTGAGATTAGTTTCCTCACCTCTAAACTGGGGACTATGGTTGTGAAGATTAAATAAGATTACATTACAAAAAAAAAATTAGTGATAATTTTAAATAATATGTGTTGCACATTTTATACACTATTTGGCTCTTAATTTTGTCCTTTCCTTTGAGTTACTAATTCTTGCTTCTATTTAACTCCTGTGTTCTAGCTCTGAGTCCTACAGCTTACCCACCTGAGGTTGCAAAGTGTGAAGACAAAGCAAAAACCTCCATTGGTCTTGGTGGACAAGATCTATAGTGCCACATTTGAAAGCCTAGGGAATGATTCTTGGACTTGTTTACACAATAAAGAGAGAGAGTAGGGAGGCATAATTTATACTATGTTAATCTACCCACAAATGCAATTTGGCATGAAATATTGGAGATTCTCATCAAAACCTAGTATCGTCTATAATTGCATGAATCCTGGTGAATATTACTTTATAACAAGAGTCTACTATGTATTAGAGATGGAGACCATAATTTTCACCAGTATCCATCCTGTAATCATGCCTTTTAGTATCAGAATGTGCCTGCAGCTACTCATTCTAGAGACTATACTACTCAACACCTCTTGCAGCTCGATATGGCAATATAACTAAATTCTACCCAGTGGAATCTGAAATAGAAGTGACACCGTTTTTAGGTGACATCCTTAAAACATATCTCCTTGCCGTCCAGTACTCCTTTACCTGCTCTTCCTTGTTCAGAGAAATTGGACCTCCTAGATGAAAGCCGAGTACTGAGAATGGAAGAGATATCCCACTAGCTCTCTGAACTACTCACTTCTCAGCAGTAACATGAGAAAAAAAAAATCACACATTTAAGCCACTGTTTTTGAATCTTTTATAGCGCCATTACCCATATTTTAACTAATATACTATTCATGTGACTCAACCAAAAAACAGCAACAAACATTATTGGAAATGTTACCTTGTATATCTGAAGGAATACATCTGTCCATGCCCGTTTACTCCAGGCTTCAAACTCAGTCATTTCTATAACAATAGAACACTTTTCCTCATCTGTAGAGGAACTCACAGGCACGGTATCAGTGGAAGACTTTAAGAAATAAAATAGTACAACATTAATTCAAATGTAAGGCAAACGGAAGTCCAAAATTTTAACTATTTAGTATAGAAGTTTTTTATCTTTTTACAAAACATTTTCATGCTCTTTTTATACATGACTCAAAACCTCTAATTCCCATGTGCCAATAGTAGAAACTATTAACACAGGTAACTTCTGGAGCACAAAATCTCTTATTTAGGTCATATTTATTCATTCAATGCATCTACTAGCTCACTTTGTAGTAGAAGTGGCAAAACAAGATGTGAAATTCTTCTGAACCTTGAGACAAAATAGAGCCACACCCTTTAGATTAGGCCACAAGACCTTAGCAAGCACCTGGCTCTCCCACTTATGTCACATGGCAAACATAATGACAATGCTACCACTAGAACTGCCTTAAAGCCTGAAAGTTCCTCAAAAATAATTCCATTCAATAGGTTTCCAGAAAATGAATTGTATACTTTAAGAAAACTATATATTTCTTGCTTAATTTTTCTCTATTCTCCCCTTAAACTGAAGAAGGGAAAACGCAAGTGGTGGTAAAATTAAACCAGTATTTTCTTTGAAAGATATATATTCTAAAAATTTATTTTAAAAAGAAAATTTACATAACTCCACCTCATTCTTCATTTATAAATTCTTCAAAGAAGCAATTACTTATATATTTATATTTCTGTCACACAGAATTTGTAAGCCTAATAAAATATTTTTTGATTATGGGGAAAGATATATATATATATACATATATATATATATATATAAAATTGCTTATATATATTTACTTATATATTTTTAAGAAATCCATGTAATCAATTTTGCATAGGAACCCTACAGAGATTTTTCAACAAATGCATAAAAAGTACGGATTGTCTAGAAAAGCATAAGCCTTAGAATATTTCATATGTAAAGATCAATGACTCTGAAATGAGATCTTCTAACAAAGGCCAAATACCAGTACATACAATAATAACTGTGTAGATTGTTCCTAGAAATTATATTTCCTTACCATAATTTCAAGCCATTTCTTATAATCTTCTGGTTCAAGCAGAAATTCGGGCAGTACATGAGAAATACATGCTCCTTGAGTACTAAAATTAAAAAAAGAAATACCCACATTATGATAATATAATATAATCTGTATATCATTTGCAGTGACCTTTAATTATTTCAATGTCATATTTTTATATATGTTGAATTTTAATCTTGAAATTTAAAATTTATATAATTACTTTTTAAAACTTCCCTTAATAATGAAATGATGCTTCCATTGGAGAATTTGATTAATAAGAAAGAATCTACTAAATGCCTATAACCACCCTCATTGACCATTACATGCTAATGGAATATAGAGAGTTATGTGATTTAGTCTTTGTAGTCAATGCAGTAACCACTTTATTGTTATAACATTATAAAATTCAAAAAATCTGGAAAAAGTTGTAATACTTTGTTGCCCAGACTAGAGTGAGTGCCATGGTGTCAGCCTAGCTCACAGCAACCTCAAACTCCTGGGCTCAAGCAATCCTACTGCCTCAGCCTCCCAAGTAGCTGGGACTACAGGCATGCACCACCATGCCTGGCTAAGTTTTTGTATATATATATTTTAGTTGGTCTATTAATTTCTTTCTATTTTTAGTGGAGATGGGGTCTTGCTCAGGCTGGTTTCGAACTCCTGACCTCAAGCAATCCTCCCGCCTCGACCTCCCAGAGTGCTATGATTACAGGCGTGAGCTAACTTAGTGAGGCTGGAACACCACTCACCAATAGGCATTTAACAGAGAAAATATTACATCTAGTGCTCAACTCTGGAGATAACCTCAGAGTTTGCAGTCATGTGCTTACCAAGAAAAGGGAAAAGAAAAAGGAGAAAGGTGGTTTAAGATGATTTTGGAAACTTAGACCTTGAAGACAGTGAAGATGAATGAAAAGAGAGAAGTGAGGAAGGAAACTCTTGTGGGAGTGGAAGCAGTGATCACAATTCTAGAGCTGTTAAATTTGATGCGGTCCTGGGCCAGTGTAGGCTACTGGAAAAAAATCATTCTGCCTACATAAAGTTCTTTTGTTTGGAAATGAAACATTGTCCTTTTTCTTTGGTTTTCAAACAATTACTTTACTTATGTGAATTACTGCTATGAAACTTCATTATATTCAAATCACTGTAAGTTTAAATAAAACCTAATTTTAATGTAATACCACTCCTAAGCAAGAATACCCAACCTAAAGCCTGTGTGGGAATGCAATGAGGTGATGTCCTCATTAAGTTGAAATCATGTAGAGTGAAACAAAGACAGACAACTCAAAGACATGAAGAAACTGACATACTTCTTTGTTTCCACAGCCAAGACAGGATTTGAGGAGGAAGTGATCATTTCTATCAAATACCACTGATAGTCAAGGGAAAACTATCTGGAAACCATTAAAATATGAGTTTCTTGAGGAGCTCACATGTTATTTATTTATTTTTTTTGCTTATATGTTATTTATTTGAGTCCATCAGAAGATAGACCCTAGATAGTCCATCAGAAGAAAGCTGAAGATGAAGGTTGCATTTTTGCATTTTAAAGGTTGGCACTATCATCAAGACTTTTTTTTTTCATTTTAAATATATCTCAAGGCCTAACTTCATCAGTCCATAAGACAGCATCTATATTCATGTCTTGTCAATAGAGTTTATGCCTGGTCAGTAGTTTTATGAAGAGTTGACTTTCATAATTGATTTGGTTACACTTTTACATTCCCATAGGTTTCGCGTTTGAATATTTCTACTGAGTTAACACCCAGTAGATCAAAATGTAATTACATATAATGAGCTATTAAATTCTAAACTTAATCTCCAGAAATTAGTTTTTTAAAATATTCTAACTTAATCTCTAAAAATGAGTTTCTCATTTATTGTACAAAGTAGATATTTCACTTGTACAAAAGTTCTCACCTACTGTGCCATCAAATTTAAATGGGGAAGCTAATAACATTTATGATTACTTTGAATTTTAATACATTAATTTCCATGATGAAACATATGCACATATCTTGGAGTAATAACCCAGTTTTATTAACCATACTGCCACTTTCTAAATGTTAAGTAATTTTATCACAGTCAACATATCCTGATAGGCATGTATTTGCTGATAAAGAGCAAATAAATCTGAATGGCTTGGCTTTAATGTCAAAATCATTCTTCTGTACCTGCATCCTCACACTAGAAAATGTCAAAACAGAAACGACTCATGTTAATGTCAACACTACTGGGAGCTGTGCCAACAAGAATCCTACAAGAATAATACAACAATCACAAGTATCATGGAGTTTAATGATGTTATTACAAAATTGTTTGGTTTCTATAACACACACATGATGAGGATTTACTTAAGTATCCAAACCTCCTTCTTTTGCTCACAGTTAATATTCCATTAGATTTTTTTTTTTTAGCACAATATTTCTTAAATAAATGCAATAGAATTTTCGCCTTTTTTGAACTAGAGAATTTACCTTATTCAATCAATCATTAAAGATCAAAAGTTAGGAAGTGGTAAAATGAAAAGAAAAGTCAATTGCTTTCTATTTTAAACTTATAAAATTTTCATAAAATTTTCATTCTATCTAATAAATATGAGGGCATAATTGATAAATACTGGCTTTCTAACATTTCTTATGTGAACAAAACTTTCATTTCTAATAAAAGAATGTATTTTTAAAATAAATATTCTATTTAAGTGATAGTCATATCACAAGCCTCAGTTTTCACTATGCCACTAATGGTTAATATATTGGAACAATTTTAAAAAACATCTTAGCATACAAAACCTCGGAGCATAATTTATTGCATTTAAATTAGTAATAAAAACAATAATAATCTACTATATATGTCATGTAATGCACATCTTATTATTTCTAATTATTTTGTCAACCAAGTAAGTTTGGGAATCATCCTCTTCAATTTGACACATACTGAACTGTAAACTAAACATAAAATCCTAAGCACCCCACTGACTGAATGGACCCCCTCTTGGCCAAGGGGACCTCAGAAGAACCTTAAAACAGAGCTCCCAGCCATTATGGAAAGGGAGGTTACACAAACCCCTTTATACCCCTTCTCTTCTGGAGTTTAAACAAACGAGTATTAATGTTAAAATAGAGATCATAAGACTGACAAAACAGACTCTTTGTGGCAATAAGATACTAAACCGCAAGCAGTACCTAAGGCCCAGCAAAGGTTTTAGGTGAGGATTTAAAAAAAATAAATCTCACTAAATGGATTTTTTTTAATTGAGCAGGTATAATGTGGCTTACTTATAGTATCACATAACAGATAGCAGACCCTCTTATTTTATCTCAAGCATTCCTTTCCATGGACTCCAAGTCTTTAAACAAAGCTTTATTTATTTAACCAATTACAAATCAAAGAATCTCTTAACCCACCTATGATTTGTACACCCCTGCTTCTATATGTCTAACTTTTTCAGGCAGAAATAATGTATAACTTCCATGAATTGATTTATAATTTTACCTGCAGTTCCTGTCTCCCTAAAATGTATAAAACCAAACTGTAATCCAACTTCCTTGGGACCACTTACTCAATGTTTCTTGGGTTTATGGTTCCCTGGACCATGGCCACTCATAGTCAGCTCAGAATACGCCTTTTAAATTATTTTACAGAGTTTGTTTATTTCCATTAACAACTTAGAACTAAAACACCTGAAGGAACTTGTTCAAGGTTACAGGAGTACAAAAGAGATGGACTATAAGCCTGCATCTACTTGATTCAAAAACCAGTTCAATACACTCTTCCAGCATCACTTCTAGACTATTTATTTGAAATAGTTTCATTCTTGGATGCAATTCCATTAAGTAAGATATCACAATGGTTATCCATACATAAGAAGGCTATAAAGTTTTTAAAGATAAAAAAAGTGTACATCACAAGTAGAATTAAATTTACTTTTAAGGGGATGTGAGTTGCTCTTTCTAAGTATATTTACTTTGGTAAATAAACTATTTATTTAAAAACTCAATGGAATTGAAAAATAAGAGTTACAGTAGTTTTATATTCTTGTGATGTCCTGCTTTATAGTTACAATGTAGGGCACAAGATGTTTATATTCTGATTCTGTTTAGTTTTTCATTATGCAAATTATAAATAAAAAGTTTACTTTTTCAATGAAAATCAATCACATAAGAAAACAATTATTGATTACAAACAAGTGAAATTATATCAAATGATATTTGGTAATGAAAGTATAGGTCTGCTTGGGCTGGCATAACAAAATGCCATAGGCTAGGTGTCTTAAACAACAAAAATTTATTTTCTGATAATTCTGGAGGTAAGAAGTCTGAGATCAAGACACCAAAAAATTTGGTTTCAGGTGAAGCCTCTCTTCCTGGCTTGCAGATGGCCACCTGCTTACTGTGTCCTCATGTAACATTTTCTCTGTGCTCTTAATGAGGCAGGGGTTAGGGGGAGAGAAATATAATGTCTTTTCTGCTTCAGGTTTCTTTACTTTCATGATTAGCTTCTAAAACTATTTATCTAATTTTTGCAATTATAATCTAATTTTATAAAGGAGGGCCTCCCAAATTGTATCAGACCTCTGAGTACCTGGATCAGCCATGCATTTGGACTCACATGAGAAAGGAATAAGGAATTCTTATATCTATACATGTAGGTCTTGTGAGTGCTGTTCTAGATATTCAGTCTCTTTAGCACTGTCCCGCTCTACCTGAAATCTGTCATTTTGGCATATGCTGCTAATGTCTGAGATGGGGAATCTCATGTCTCTTCTCTTAGCCCCATCAAGCATCAAAAGCCCCTCATCTTTGTGTCTTTGTCATTCATATTGTAGCTTCAGAGACAGCCATCTGCTACCCTTCTGCCTCTTCAGTGGGGTCCTTCTAATGTCTCAATATAGCAACCTCCATGAAAGGCTGCTTAGGTATTGACTCAGTCACCTTCAATGACTTAGAAATGTCTAGCTTTCTTCCAAGCCACAAAGAACTCAAGCCAGTTTTGGACATTACCATGATAGTGAGAGCCTAAGAAATGAACGAAAATATTTTGTTCAGTACCATCAAACTTTCAATAGGGACTTTGCTAGGAACTCAAAAATCCTGATTTGAAAATTCTAAAAAAAACCCTGAATGCCAAATCTTTCATTTGTATTCCTGCTATTGGAGACCTCTTCTTGCCCTCCATTCTCACTCCTGCTAGGGTAGATGAATATCTTTGGCCAATTATAAAGCAGATCTCATAAACAAAGAAGCAAAAGAGAAAAGCACATTAATACATTTCAAAATATATTAACCCTATTACATAAGTACTTACAAGTAATAAATGCCATTTAAGTTATACAGGAGCATGCAAGAAGAAGTAATAACACTGCCTACAGATGTGAGGTGTTTCAGTGGACAAGGCTGCTGCAAATACAAGCTAAAGAAGCAGTATAAATTCACCAACCCTCCTATCAGACATTTAATAAGCACTGTTTTTCCATTTCTTGGCCACTTGCCATTTAATCTCTACAGAGAAGACATGATAATGACAGGTATTTTTTCCTATCATTTCTATCAACAGTTTATGGAAATTTTCACTTGCATATTATTTTAATATTAAAATACATTAAAATGCACACTAAAAGTTCACAGTATCCATAACTTGAGATGATACTAAGAGTAATATGAGAAATAAAGCTTACTAATTTCATTCCTTTTTTGTTGAATGGATTTATGTATTTATCATAGATCAGGATTTCTAAAATGAAGTCACAGACCAGAAGTATCAGCAACACCTTGAAATTTCTTATAATTGCAAATTAGCACTATAAGGGCCAGCAAACTATTTTAATAGGCCCTCTCAGTGATTTGGATGCATAATAAAGTTAAATTTGCCTTAGATTATAAATCCAATAGATCATAACATGCTTATTTTCTATTAACCAATGTATATTTTCCAAAAGTATAAGCTCAATAGAGACATACAGTAAAAAAAAAAAAATGATATGAAAATCTACCTGCCTATCTACCTACCTACTTATCTATGTAACCAAGTCATAATTACATGCTTAAATTAGCACATCCAGGCTCTTACTTGAGAAAATCCAGAAGTGAGGAATGTTGCAAATGAAGTTGAATCACTCTTTCATTGTTATCTACAGGTAAAGATTGACTTGAACTAATTCCTGCGGGCATTTTTCCACTCAAGTGGAGCACCACATCATAAACGGTTTTATTGTATTTAGAAAAGTCATTTTGTCGGGAAAATTTTTTCGGTGATGATTTTGGTGAGTAGAATTGTATTTTATACACATCCCTATGAGAAAAAGACTTTAAATTAAAAACAGTCTCAAAATGTTATGGGGAAAAAATGTTCAATCCAATGACTAAATAAAATTCTATTAAAATCAACTATGAAATTCTAAAATACAGTTCACTCAGCTACTATTTGTTAGTCAAAATTAGATTTTTTTTATCCCCAGAGATTTTCAGTATCTTGTTTAAACACACATCATTATCTAATGTTGCAATTGTCAAGTCTGAAGTATTGGGTTGTGAATAGATTGGATCTCAAGAAAGAGGACAGGGATTGAATCCTGGACCCATTACCTACGAGCTATGTGATTACAGCAAGTTATTTAAACTTACTGGGTTTAATTTTGTATTCTAGCAATTGGAGATAATGTCTATAATAGTTTCCAATATAGATTTCAAATATTCATCACACATATAAATATAAATATAACTTTACACATATTTTCTCAATATTTGTGCTTTAATCCTTAGAAGGGCACATCTTATACATTGGCTTAATAAGCAGGGATTCTCATTTTAAAGTCCAGAGATGTCAAACTTTTCTGTTCTTTGAATAAAACATTGCAACATCTACTCCATAGTACTACTGCACCACATTGTGATGCATGCTAATTTTTAATGGAGTAAAAATTCCAATCTATTCTTGCTATCTTACAACTTATCAAATATCTCATATTATACTGTCTAATTGTTTGTCAGCAATGAAAATCACACATGCATCATTAGCTTAGACCAACAAATAAAAAGTATCCAATGGGCCATTTTGAGTGCTAGTTCTTCAGTTTAATAAATAAGAAGTCTGTATACCATAATACAAGAGAAAGTACATTGTTTTATATAAGGGTTAGTATGCCATTGCTCAAAACCTGGCTCTGGCATGTACTGTGTGACCTTTTAGGAGTTACTTGAGCTTTCTGCTCCTCAGATTCCTCATAAGTAATGGCTATAATAGATCTAATGCATCCTGATGTTACTGGCCAAAAACCCCACATATTTTATGAAGAAAATTAACACCATCATAGGCCAAGATGAATGCAAATGAAAAGAAACAATAGCCAGCAAAAACAGACACATAGGAGCCCCAGATATTACAGTTGTAAGACACAGACTTTAAACTAGCAAAAAAGGAGAGGAGACAGAAAGAATGCGGAAGTCAAATAATTTGAAGAAATATTGTCTGATAACTTTCTAAAATTACCAATAGAAAATAAAACCACACATGAAAGAATGTGAACCCTAATGAAAATAAGCACAGAGAAAACTATTCTAGGTACATCATAGTGAAACTGCTGAAAACCTAACAGAAAGAAGTTCTTAAAAAGGCTCCGACAAAAGATAATAACTTCAAGGCACTAAAGCAAAGGATTTCTTGATAGAAACATTGGAAGAAAATGATATAGCTTTCAATATGCTGAAAGAAACCTCAACCTGATTTTAAAAACCCTATACAATTAGAATAAAGGTGAAAAATTGATATTTTCAGATACAAAAAAGAAATAAAGAAATTTGTAACCAAATGGCCTTACTTTTTAAATACATGTTTCTATTTTTTATTAAGGGGGTACAAATATTTTTGTTACATGGGTACCTTTTATAATGCTTTTGTAAGGGCTACAAGTGTGCCCATCACCTGAATAGTGTTCACTGTACATGTTAGGTAGCTCTTTACCCTCCTACCCCCTACTTCTTCATTTCCAAAAATTTTTACTTCTTTCTGTGTTCATCAGCTAGTTCCAACTTAGTGGAGAGTACATGTGGTGTTTGTTTTTATATTCTTTAGATACTTCACTTAGGGTAATGGTCTGCAGTATCATGCAAATTGCTGCAAAAGACATTAATTCATTTATTTTTATGGTAGAGTAATACTCCACATATTTTATATATATATATATATATATATATATATATATACACACACACACCACATTTTGTTAATTCACTCATGAATGTATGAGCACATGGGTTGATGGGTTGATTCCATATCTTTGCAATTATGAATTGTGCTGCAATAAACATTCAAGCACAAGTGCCTTTTTGATAAAATGACTTTTTTTCTTTTGGGTAAATATCCAGTAGTGGAATTCCTGGATCAAATGGTAGGTATACTTTCAGTTCCTTGAGAAATCTTGATACTGTTTTCCACAGAGGTTGTACTGCACAAGCCGTGTATAAGTGTTCCTTTTTTCGTGCATCCATGCCAGCATCAATTGCTTTTGGACTTTTTAATAAAAACCTTCTAACTAGGGTAAGGTAATATCTCATTGTGGTTTCACATACATAAAGCAATAAATATGATTCACCACTAAACAGAAGCAATAACAAAGACCATATAATCATCTCAATAGATGCATAGAAAACATTTGACAAAATCCAGCACCCTTTCATAATAAAAACTCTCAAAAAACTAGGCATAGAAGAAACATACTTCAAAATTATGAAAGCAATATACGAAAAACCCACAGCCAGCATCATACTGAATGGGGAAAACTTAAAAGCAATCCCCCTACAAACTGAAACAAGACAAGGGGGTCCATTTTCACCACTTCTATTCAATATAGTACTGGAAGTCCTAGCCAGAGCATTTAGATAAGAGAAAGAAATAAAGAGTATTCAAATCAGGAAAGAGGAGGTAAAACTGATGATATGATCTTATATCTAGAAAATCCCAAAGACTCCACCAAAAGACTCCTGGAATTGATAAATAAATTCAGCAAAGTCTCAGGTTACAAAATCAATGCTCATAAATCAGAAGCATTTTTATACACCAGTAACAATCAAGCTGAGAGTCGAATCAAAGACTCAATACCATTCAAAATAGCTACAAAGAAAATAAAATGCCAAGGAATATACTTAACCAAGGAGGTTAAAAATCTCTACAAGGAGAACTATGAAACACTGAGGAAGGAAATCATAAAAGATGTAACCAAATGGAAAAACATGTCATGTTCATGGATGGGCAGAATCAACATTGTTAAAATGTCCATACTGCCCAAAGAGATTTACAGATTTAACACAATCCCTATCAAAACATTAATACCACTGTCATATTTCACAGATGTAGAAAAAAAATAATTCTATGCATCATTTGGAACCAAAAAAGAGACCTAATAGCTAATGTAATCTTAAGCAAAAAGAAAAAGTGTGGAGTCCTCACATTACGAGACTTCAAACTATACTGCCAGGCTATAGAAACCAAAACAGCACCGTATTGGTACAGAAATGGAGAAATAGACCAATGGAATAGAACAGAGCACCCAGATGTAAAACCATCTACCTACAACCAACTGATCTTAAATAAAGCAAGCAATAGCACATACTGGGGAAAAGAAGCCCTATTCAATAAATGGTTCTGGGAAAATTGGAAAGCCAAATGCAGAAGAACGAAACAAAACTCCTACCTCCTACAGCTTGCAAAAACTAATTCAAAATAGATAAAAGACTTAAATGTAAAGAATGATGCCATACAAATTCTAGAAGAAAATATAGGAAAAAAAAAAAAGCCTAGGTAAAGAATTTATGACTATCCAGCACTCTGGGAGGCCGAGGCAGGCAGATCACTTGAGCTCAGCAGTTTAAAACCAGCCTGAGCAATAGTGAGACCCCATCTCTACTAAAAATAAAAAATAAAAAAAATTGAAAGAAATTAGCTGGACAACTAAAAATATATAGAGAAAAAATTAGCCAGGCATGGTGGCACATGCCTGTAGTCCCAGCTACTCGGGACGCTGAGGCAGAAGGATTGCTTGAGCCCAGGAGTTTGAGATTGCTGTAAGCTAGGCTGAAGCCATGGCACTCTAGCCCAGGCAACAGAGTAAGACTCTATCTCAAAAAAAAAAAAAGAAAAAAGAAAAAAAAAAGAATTTATGAAATTTATGACTAAGACCCTAAGGAAAATTACAGCAACAACAAAAGTAAATAAATGGGACTTGATTAAATTAAAAAGCTTCTGCACAGCAAAAGACATAATCAACAGAGCAAATACACAACCTACAGAATGGGAAAAATATTTGCAAACTATATATCCGATAAAGGGGTAATATCCAGAACTTACAAACAACTCAAACAAATCAGCAAGAAAAAAAAAAAAAGTATGCAAATGGACGGGCGAGGTGGCTCACGCCTGTAATCCTAGCACTCTGGGAGGCCGAGGCGGGGGATTGCTCCAGTCAGGAGTTCGAAACCAGCCTGAGCAAGAGCGAGACCCGTCTCTACTATAAAATAGAAAAATTAATTGCCAACTAATGTATATATATAAAATTAGCCGGGCATGGTGGCACATGCGTAGTCCCAGCTACTCGGGAGGCTGAGGCAGAAGGATTACTTGAGCCCAGGAGATTGAGGTTGCTGTGAGCTAAGCTGACGCCACGGCACTCACTATAGCCTGGGCAACAAGGGAGACTCTGTCTCAAAAAAAAAAAAAAAGTATGCAAATGACATGAACAGAAGCTTTTCAAAAGAAAATAGACAAATGGCCAACAAACATGAAAAAATGATGAGTGTCACTAATCATCAGGGAAATAAAAATTGAAACCAAATGACCTTAATTTAAAGGTCTAAAGGGAATTACTTGAAAAGAATAAAATCATCTTACGTGGAAGATCAAAGATAGAAAAACAATAAGGAATAAGGAAAAGGTAGAGGAAAGACAATCTTTTCCATAATAGGCATTGAGCCAAATGGAATTTTATAAATAGGAAAAATTAAAATACACCTTGACCTTTATCTCACACCAACAGAGAAGTAAAATTCTACAATATGGATGGAATTGCAGGAAATTATATTAAGTGAAATAAATCAGCCACAGAAAGACAAATATTGCATGTTCTCACTCAAATGTGGGAGCTAAAAAAATTGAAGTCAAACAGATAGAGAGTATTAACAGAATGATGGTTACCAGAAGCTGGGAAGAGGAGTGGGGATAAAGTGGGGATGGTTAATACATAGGAAAATACAGTTAGATATAATGATTAAGACCTAGTTTGGTAGCATAATAGGGCAACT